ACACAACAATGAGGAACTAAACCAAATAATATCTTATAAAAGGATAACACTAGTAACAAATAGACAGTGGTACTATTATGGCAAACAACTAAAGAAAGTTGAGGAATATTGCATTTTAAGGATAATTAGCCCAGCGTGTGTCCCTGTTCTTCACACGTCAGAGGAACTAAACTAAATCAAATAGTAATAGGATAGAAAAAGGAATTTATTTAATGCTAGTAATCTAAATTAATTACAGAATATATATTAAATTTATTGTGTGTCACTTAAAGCCTGCTACATGGATTAAAAAGTCTTATTATAAACATTCTAGAACTCAAAATTGAGTTGGCGGTCTCGTTTGTTCTTATCTAAGACTCGTAAAACCTCCGCAGCTTCGAGAGGTGTAGGACTGAAGTTGTTCTTCGGCTCTCAGTCTCCGATTGAGCCGAAACGTTACCTAGCTGATTAATTATGTTACTAACATGATCGAGTTTTTGACGTTTTGAGCACAAAAGGCTTGGAGATTTGGTCATCTCGGCTGCCAACGTGTTTGAGAGCCGTGATAAACTAGTTGATGTAGAAATTCTTGTATTCCAGCTGTCTCAGTGACTGAGATAACCAAGACTACAAAATATACCTTTAAAAACACCCTTTGTCTCGACTGTCTCGGTGATCAAGAGGATGTCATATGCCATTTCACGTGACCGATATAATTCTCCCAGTACAATTCTTATAGGCATTTGATTTGTCTATTGTTATTTATATGAGCAATGTTTGTTAAGTTATGGTGAGGTGGTGATCAGGTTGTGGGGTTAACTAAGTTAATTAACGTAATATTTTAGTGCCTAACTAAGTTTAGTGGCTGACTAATTAGTATAAAACATAAACACTATATATAACTTGGGCTACATTATTTATATCCCTACAATAATAATAGAATCATAGGACATATTAAATCAAAATTAACCTAAACTAATTAAAACATAACAACTAAAATTAAAAATTTAGGCTATATTAAAATAAACTTATCTAAAAATAAAACTTAGCAACTAAAGTATTAATTAAAAATCTAGGTTTATCAAATCAATAATATCCTAGATTTAAAAATAGCCAAACTTATATTAAGTTAAAAAAAATTGAGAGAGAAGATTAAATTAAAACTTAAAAACTAAAATGTTAACATCTTATGCTATATAAATTAAATTAAACTTTTGAAAACTAAAAATAACATAAACTAAAATATCAAAACTTATGTTACATTAAATTAAACTTAGCTTAAATTAGAACTTAGGAACTAAAATATTCAAAATGTTGACTATATTAAATTAAACTTATACAAAATTTAAACTCGGTCATCAATATTTTGGAGCACCACCGTGTCATGCACTTCACTAGTCAAAACACATCATTGATATTAATCTGTAATTTTATGTGCGATCCTTGGGAAACCAAGGTATTGCAAACCTTTGCTCTTTTCAGTTATGTGTTGAATTATATATTTTATGATTTATGTGTTTGTTTTACGCTCAAGTTATTATGCTTTAGGAGTGAATCTTAATTTTAGTTCGAGATTCATCACAAATTATTAATCAATTATATTAAATATTGAATTGTTTAATTGGATTAATTTTTTAAAAATTTATTTTTATTGTTTTTAGTTTAATTATATGTCTCACTTTAAATTTGATGAAATTTTAGTTTATTATTATTTATTTTATTATCCAGATGCATTCTTGATTGTTGTGAATTTGATGTCACTGTTTTCACTGTGTAGTTGAAAAATTAATGTAAAATACTACCAAAATTTTAGTCAAATTTAAGATACAAGACTTATCATCAATGTATTAACCAAAATATTTAAAATGTTTTCATGAGTGGAATAAGGTCTCTCTCTCCCTCTTCTGTCTTACACACACGTATATTAGATTTATATGCATGATGTATGTAATAGTACTCCTTAAATTTGACATCTCAGTAGCCCACTCCATGATATTTATACTATGACATTTTATACAATTTCTCATTAGTCAAAACCATATGAGTCGAAACCCTTCGTGGATAACTCTTTCTAAGATGTTTGACCACCTTTAGGATCAATACTATCTTCACAAATCAATATAAGACTTTGCTGTTTAATTGGGTTGTTACAAACCCTTAGTTTTCACTTATTAGGAGAAATGACCTGTCTTGACATCATTTGCAACACCCCTTCATATTTGATGTCTCAATAATTTCATTCTATGATATTTAACATGATGATACTTCACACAACTTCTCATTAGTTAGAACCCTTCACCGATCAAAATCTTTTGTAAGTAGTTCTTTCTAAGATGTCTGGCCACCTTTAGATCAATAATTATCCCCATAAACTAATACAAGATTTTTTAACTTATTTTGTCCTCACTTGTACACTTTTTAGGAAAACTTCTCAAAAGGTTTCTCATCTCGAAACCACTCCAAGTTAAATACACTTAACTATAGAGTTCTTAAGTGACGAGCTCCCAAAAAGTATATGCATCTTGTTGACATGAGTAATACAAATCAATTTCTTTAAGTCATTCTTAACTACATAATCTCATACTTACAAATCTTTTGATCCTTCTGAGTTTGATGTGTCTGATTTATTATAATGTTTTTAATTGTATACAAAACAAAGTTATGGATCAAATTTAAATAAATTAAAGACACATAAGTGAAAAGTATAAGAATAGAGTGGCAGAGTTTCTAGAATTTGCAAAAGGGAATTTTGCTAATAATAATGGAAACTATTATTACCCTTATGTTAACTTTTTTATATGAGAGGTACTAAGAAATTGTAGTTTGTCACAACCAGGATCATGATAGATGGCGACTCTTAATTCTTTGACTTATTTTCGTTGTCTCGTCACGATCCTAATTTCATAAGCTTCAATTTATAGCCACCCCACAACAAAAGTGATATGGGAACATATTCTTTGTGATTGGTTTCTAATGACTTATACAAGTTGGATATGGCATGGTAATTGTTAGACATATCAAGTGTGCCTAGTTAAACCCAAATCCATATACGAAAGGTTGATTTAGATATGATTGGTCAACTATAGGACATACTTATGATTTTGGACAATAATCTTTAATTTCAATGATATATTAAGATTTTTTAATTTGAAGACGAGAAATTGATAGAATAATAAAAGTTTTGTTGGTGGTCGAGTATGTACCCATTAAAAAAATACAAAACAAGAATCTTTAATTATTAGATTAACCAAACATAAGTACTTTAAATTTTATATTTGCATTACTATTATTTACCATTGATATTTGATATTTCAATTTGATCAAAATTACTAATATTTAAATTTGATGTTCAATTATATAGTTTAGGCAAAATAGAAATTATTAGTGTGATTATTATGTCAATAGAAACTATGAATGTGATTACTATGTCATGAAACATAAGTTGATCATTGTCCATGTAGATATAACTGATTCATGGGATAAGATAATGTATTTCACTTTAAACAACAATATCAATTTTAATTTTTATAAAATCATTGATCTAATATTATATTATTAATTTACACTTGTAGATATTTTCGAAGGATGCATCATTGACCCAATAAAACATTAATCAAATATGACAACTTTGGATTAAACACTTTTGCGTGACAGAATTTTTCGCTTTCAAATTTTTGGTGATTTAACATATATACAGTTATACATCACTAGTTTTGTAATAGTATTTATAAAACGTTAAGAGATAACAAAATTACATGACTACTGATAATAAAGACCAAAGCATATAAAAAAAATTGTGCATATGATAGTAATACGAATACCTAAGCATAATGATTCAACAAGTTTCTACCACTGTATAAGGCTAGCATAAATCGTTACTTACAAACTAAATCGTCTTATCTTAGAAATGCGTTTGAACTTTGCACCCTTTAGAGTTAAGTCAATGAGAGTTAGCAATGTAGAAAAAAAAAATGAAGTGTTGGTGAGGAAAAACAAAATAAGGAAATGAAAAGGAAAGAAGAAAAAGAGAAAAAAGAAACTAAAAAGTGTTAATAGGAATTAAAACAAAAAAAAATAAAATGTTTGGATAGGAACTAAAAGGATTAGTTTCTAAATGTGGAAACTAGAAAATAACTAATGCAAGTATTATACCAAAATTTACAAAGAATATAAGAATAGAAGAAAAAAATTAAATGTAAAAGTAAAACACATACCTAATACATCACTCATTGTCACATCATCTCTCGTTAATTAATTTGTTTTTTTACCTGCAGGGAGCCAGGGACCAATAGGAAACTAACTGGTTGTCTAGGGACGAAAAGTCTAAAACGAATTATTTTGAAGTATAGAAAATAAAAAGTTAAGATTTGTTTAACTGAAAGGACTAAATGATAATTAAACCAAATAAAATTATTTAAACATTAATTCACTTAAATTAATAAATTTAACATGAAAAATATATATTTGAAAAAAAAAAAAGCTTACTAACTGGTATAGTATTAGACAATTAGTGGATCTGTTAGACTGAATTACACGTACGTGTTATATTATTACGAAACTTGAAAGCATTTGCTGTTCATGGATTCATTCCTACGTGTAACATTATAATATACAAAACCATTTTCCGATCAGATCAATATCTCCCAGATTGGACACATATCTATCCGTGAAACTGATTATATTTTACTTGCTTACATACTTTATCAGTCTTCATGCGTTCATCAAAGTCGTTAATTAGTTTTGAATATAATTTATTTATCATATCTATATATATATATATATA